TAGGGAAATGGTCTGAAATAGGAAAAAGCACCAGAATTCCAGACATATCAAATATTATTTTGACATGTCAAAATAAAGGCCAGTTCTGTTCTATTTGCATGTTCTTGGGTTTAGGTCAATGACTTAAAAGTTACAAGTGTGTTTACTACACAAATAGAACATAAACACTTCCACAGAATCTATTTTTACATTGTTGAGGAAGAAATCTACAAATAGTCAATCACATATTCCTGAATTGTTTATTTTGGAAAATAGTTTTTCTTTTTGCAGGAGTGGTTTGGAATTTATGCTGTCCTTTAGGTCCTTTTTCCTTTTTCTATTGGTAGGCATAACAGCACTCACCTACTTCCAAGAGCTGGTGTAAAATCCCCAGATTTTAGAAAAAATGCTGTAAGAATCATTAATGCATAGCAGAAGCTTATAAGGATCCTTGCCATATTTATTTTGATTGTGTTTGTATGTGATATTTCCCATGGCTGAAAAAAATTTTCTCTGTAACTTCATAATTAAATTAAGTCATATCAGGTTATCCTAGTGAGACCTTTGAAGAACTGCAGGAGTAGAGAGTTGCTGATATTTTTGCAGTTAGTAACACAATAATAAATCATTTGCTTTGTGGTTTATGCTGAGTGGAGATGAATTTCTTGCTTATATTTCACTCTGCTCTAGACACAAGAAACCTTTTGTCTTTTATCAATCAAAACAGCTTAACATTTGGTTTCCAGAGAAACCAGTTGCTCATAAAAACTGATTGACAGCTAATTAGACATAAATTTCTTCCCAAAAGACTCAGTCAGCTGCTTGTTTGGGTTGAGCACACGTGATACTTATTACTTCCTATTTCTCATCCAAATCCAGCAGCTGGTACCTTGTGATTCACAAGCAGGCCAATTCATTCTTGCAGTTCCTCACTGCCTTTCCCATTAACACTCTCACACAGAAACTGCACATCAGCTGGTGTTTTCCAGTACTTACACTTAAATGTCTGTACTGTGGACTCTGGGGTGTTTTAGGGATTTTATCCCTATCTTCACTCTGGAATGTTATGAAAGTCACTGGTCAAAAATCTCAATTTGCCAGAATAGTGTTGAGAACAGCTAAATAAACTTCTATCATGTCCTGGCCCCGAGCAAACACTCCAGAAGATATTCATGTTTGGAAAAAAATCAAAATTTGAGGATTTCATCCAGGAAGGACATTCCTGTGCAACTGACAGAGGACCAAATATAATTTGTAGATGAAGTTACACACTGACTTAGAATAATTTAAGAAGTTAAGCTAAACTACAGATATCTGCACTTCCCCCATCCTGCCTGACATAAGCAGTTGCTCTAATGGATTGAACAGGAACAGCTTTCCCATGTGAATGATGTTTGACTGAAATATGAAAGATTTTCCAAATGCAGCCTATTTGTCCACAACAGGAAAATTACTCTTTATTTCAAGTGAATTAGAAACTTTCCTCCCCAAATAACAGATTTTCAAACCCAAGCCTTCAGCTGATGTACAATTCAGAAAACTCATGACATCAATGTTAGTCCTGTAAGATTATTACTGATATTTCTGCTTTGCAAATATAAGTGATGTCCAGGTGTTAGAAAAAACAAGTTATTTGTTGGTGAAATTGCCTTAGTAAAGTCTAGGGCTTGATAATGCTTTAATGACCTCAGACCTAGCAGAGGTTAACAAGGTCTGAGAAAAAAGGATGCCCACTGACAGTGGACACAAAGAATTCAGAATTTAGGGGCCATCTGGCAAGAACTCCCAATATAAGGAAGAAACAAACGAAGCCAACTCAGCAGCTAAGCTGAAATCAGCTCCAGCTGGGTAAAAGGGAATTCTGGCAGGTGGAATCTGCAACCAGACACAAGAATCCCACCTGCAAGAAGGAAAGCCTGAGCATGCAGACGTATTAGCATGAGAAGTGGATCATTAATCAATAGAAGACAGAATGCTAATTACTAAGAGAACGATGTAACTTGTAGCCAGTGAACGCTAATGTCTTTGCTAAGATGTATATAGTTAAAAGCTTTGGTGTGCTTGATGTGTGGAAACGTCCACCTTGCATCATGTACAGAATGAACAACATCTCCTTCCTAAACAAAACTCTCTGTGTTTATAGGGCTCCTAAAATCGGCAAAACCTCCCTGCAGCCTTTCCAAACCCACCTGGACGCGTTCGAGGTGTCAGCAGGGGTTGGACCGAGCGATCTCCAGAGGCTCCTTCCAACCCCAGCCGTGCTGTCATTGTGCCAGAGCTGGGGCACAGCACCGGCTCTTTGTGTCACTGCTGCCCCAAGTGCTGCCATCGAGAACCCAGAGGTTTCCTGGCCTCTGCAGGAGCTGCCCGAGCCTGGGGAGAGCCCCCAGGGCTCCCCTGCCCTCCCCGACCCCCTCATGCAAGGGGCCATGTCCGCCTCACCCATCGCGGTCCAACTGTGTCCACTGGGGCTCTCGCACAAACCCAGCCTCACCCTACAGCAGCTCATGCGAGGTTTCTGCTCTTTCCAAGCATCGTTAAAGTAAAACAACCAAGGAAACATCGACGCTCTTACTTCAGCAGCATCCGCGGGCCCCGGCGCCATGCTGAGTACTGGCAGCGCGCCGCCATCTTGGCGCGGCGCTGCCCTCACGGGAGGGGAACGGAGATTCATGGCCCGTCCTCTGCCCTCACCCAAAATGGCCGCGGGCGCCTCCGTCCATCCCTGAGGCGGGACCAGCGCTGAGGGCGCGGGAGGCGGAGGCGGCCGCGGATCCCTTCAGAAGGCGGCTGGAGGCCGGGCAGGTACCGCGGGCACGGGGCTGGGTGAGGGTGAAGGTGAAGGGCGGCCTCGGGCTCCCCACACGCGGGGGGACAAAAGCCGCGGGTTGGGTGGGTCAGGGCTGGGGAGGGTCTTCCCCTCCCTGAGGGGGAAACCACGCTGGGCTGGGAGCAGGTGCAGGCTTGGGAGGTAAAAAAATTAAGCTCTGTAAAGAAAATTCACCTGATGTGTGGTTCTGACTTGATGGTTCGATTTCAAGGGGTGAAAATTTCAATTCTTCCATTGGGTTTTGCTGGCTCGCTCTCAACTGAGAGCTTGGAGGAAGCATGAGAATGTTATTTTGATGCTGGAGATCAGTTCATTGTCAAACCAGACAAATTCAAGCAAAATTGAGGTTTGGAATTTGAAATGAAAGAGCAGCACCTCTCTCTTTCTCTGTGTTCTAAATACCTCTTTCTCTGTGTTCTAGTAAAACTTTAGTATTTGCTTTAGGGTGCGTTTATGATTTAATTATTAAATGTAACTTTAGAAGCTGCTTTGGTGCTTTTTATTCCAAGGTCCGTGTCTTGCAAGCAGCAGCCTGTGAGAGACAATGCACTGATGTTGAGTGTCCAACATTAAACCAAAACTGGCATTTGCCTGCTTGAACTTCCCTAAATTATTATGGGGAGGAGATACCAAAGGTTGCATTAATGGACTTGACTGATAAGTGTGAGAATTATGTTCTAAGTAGGGTGTAGCATTTGTTAAATACACTGAGATTTCTGCAGTGATCTCGATGTGTTTTTAACTTGGATTTGATAGCAGGCAGGAGAAAGCGTTGTACGTGCAGAAGTATTTTCCGGTATATTGAGAACAACTCACAGGAGTCATTTGAAAATTAAAATTTGATGCTTGACATCCGGAGGAGATGGAGTGTGTCTTACGCATAAGTGCTTCTGGCTCTTTCAGTTTCAGATGCTCTCAGATGTGTTGCTAAGAGATTAAAATCAAAGTCGTGGGTGCTTTTTGTTTAACTGAAAAGACCTGGCTAAGTCTGCTCCCCTGGAGCTTTGTATCCAAACCACCAGAACTGCAGGAGCACCTTCTTGTATCCAAGAACAGCTGGATAACTAAAGGACTGAAAGTCACATATTTGCCTTTTGTGAGAACTTGGATGTGCTCAGACCTGCTCTCTCTGTGTTATCCAAACCTGATGAATGTTGGCATTTTCTTGAAACCTGTTATGATGGGCAGCTAACAGCAGCTTAATGCCAACCTCCTTGAACTGGTTCTGTGGGACAGGATGCCCAGGGAAGTGGTGGAGCCACCATCCCTGGAAGTGTTCAAAAATCATGTAGGTGAGGTGCTTAAGGACATGGTTTAGTGGTGGACTGGGCAGTGCTGGGTTAGTTGTTGGGCTTCATGATCTTAAAGGTCTTTCTCACCCTAGGTAACTCTGATTCTGTGCTGTAAAACAGTAAAAATGTACTGAAAATGCTGCATGAGACTACCCAGCTCTTCCTGGTTTTAATTAGTGCCTGGCCTTTTAGTCTCTGCTGTTTCTGCCTGGGATGAAGGCATGGTCTTGTTGAGGACAGACAAGCATACTTGTTGTTGGAGGCTCCTGGTTGTGTCCCTGAGGTGGCTTGGAAGATGGGAATGCTGTCTGTGGCATTATGGGATGGTGGCAGTGCCTGGCTGCAGCCCTTCCTGGGCTGCAAAGGCTGCACTGTCCTGCCCCAGCTCCCAGACCACCCCTTCACATGACCCTCTGAGCTCACAGGAAAAATGCTCCCAAAGAGATTTCCATTCCTCTGGCTGTTTTATCTGTTTGAAGGGCTGCATGAATTAGCAACAGCATTGTTCCAGCTTCTTGTTTTTCACATTTTTCTTCTTGAATCTGATTATAACAGAAAGACACTTTTACCCCTAAAACGAGAACTTTCTTCCAAGAGTTCACATTCCTGTTGTTGTTATGCAACTCTCGACATGACAGTTTTACTTTGTGGTTATTTTCAGTGTACATATTGCTCTTCCTGTCAAAAAAGACTGTGTTCTTACCCTGGAGTATCTTTTATAGTCTAGATTAAGACTTGGTAAGTCCTGGAAGGGGAACTGCTGAAATTGTCAATGATTAAATTTTTTTTTTTCTTTCTTTCTTTTTTTTTTTTTTATTTTTGGTTTTGTTTGGTGGTTTTTTTTTTGGTGCAGTGTGGTTTCATGAGTCAAACTGAGCTGTTGGGAGTTTCTGTTGAAGATGTACATGTTGGTTGAAAAACGCACAAATTCCCATCTTCACCTAAAGAGGTCACCTGGCATCCGCTCCTGGTCTCTCTGTGTTGGTAAGAGCCCAGCATTCATTCCAGGGCTTGCTTTGAGGGAAGAGGGTCACAGTAAACTCCTGAAAGAGCCCCTAGGGAAATCCCTGCCTTCCAGGCATTTTCCTCTCCAGAAGAGGAGAGGTTGTGCTTTGAACTCTTCCTTTCTCTTAGCCACTGAATGAGTGTGAAGCCTCAGCATGGCAGTTTCACTGTGAGACCTTCAGTCTCATCTGGAGAACCTCAGGAGCTCATGGATGGAATTTTAAAGGAGTCCTGAAAGACCAAGAACAGAAGGTTTATTATGTGTGGAGCTTCTGAAGGGGATTTTAGCTCAAGGAACATCTCAGTTTGCAGGAGTGGAAAACTGCAGTGGGACCATGCTGGGTTGGGTTGTGTGTGTGTGTGGTTGGTGCTGAGCTCCTGAGGTCTCTGTATGAAAATGGGAAGTCATACAGGATATTCTGAAAGGCATCTTTATAAACACCACTGAATATGCAGGAAAAATAAACTTGTTAGGATTGTACTGAGAGAGCTGCTGGGGAAAATCTGGTGTATCCTGCTTTCCAGCTGAGCAGATCCCAGTGTGTGCTGGGAAAATCTGGTGTATCCTGCTTTCCAGCTGGGCAGATCCCAGTGTGTGCTGGGAAAATCTGGTGTATCCTGCTTTCCAGCTGAGCAGATGCCAGTGTGTAACACCACGTTGGCATTGCTTTCAGGGATGTGCTTGAGAAGATCTTTGCAGTTGCAGCAGCCTCTGGGCCATGGGGCACTCTTCAGCTGCTTCCTCCTCTCTGAGAGAAAGGACCTGGCAGTGTCTGACACAGCTTTACTGCAAAAGTTGTCTTTTGGCTCCATAGAGCACTTAAAGGGGAAAATAACCATTGCAAGGTTTGTGTGAGCACTCCAAGTTGTGCTGTGCTGAGGGGAAGTATGGTGTCATGGCTAAATTGAGTCTCTCTCAGGTTCTGTTCCCAATTGTGTCACAAAATTTTTATTTCTGACCCCAGCCACTGTGATTTTAATGCCTTTGCAGAATGGAAGTTTTTTTAATACTGAGAGAAAAAAATAACTTGACTTTCATATAGTGATCTATGTTGCAGTCACATTTTTCCTGTTTTTGAAAAGTGATGTTTTTCTTCAGGGAATTTTATGTGATTTTTGAGCTGTTTATTTGTCTTAATTCTCTCTTCTTTCCTCCTAGGAATAGCCTCCATAGGTTTGGCTGCTGCTTATTATAGTGCAGGTAATGCTCTATCACTTTTTTGGGAGAGTTATTTCTTTCCTGGTAATCTGTTTCTCATGCTGATGACTCATCTGCAGCTTCTGTCTGGCCCTTCAAAGGCAGTGGAGGTTCCTCTCCCCCTGTGTGGTGTGAATATTAAAACCAAGAATAACTGTTGCCTCTGTGGCTTACTGTGCTGTGGTGCTCTATTACTCAGCCTCCTTTTCCATTTGCAAGTATTTTTACTAATGATATTGGTACTCTGTGGCATTTTGTACTTTCAGTGTTTTCTAAATGTGATTAGCTGCTCCCCCCAGCTCTCCTGGGAGGCCATGGAATGATGATTTGACACCCTCATGAAATGATTACTTTGCCTGTGACGGAAGTTCTCTGTTTCTCTGGAAACTCTCAGATCATCACTGGCAGAGATGATGAGATTACTCATGCCAGCACCTTCAGGGATGAGACAGCTCCTGCTGCTGCTTCTCCCCCTGCAGTGCAGCAGCCTGCACCAAATGCCAGCTGTCCTTCCATCCATGGGCTTGGTCCTGGAAGTGCCCTGTGCTGCATCCTGTTAACATCAAGTGTTAAAGCTTAATAGTGTGTAGGAATGTGCTACCAATAGAGCCCACGTATTTTTATTTAAAAATTTAAAGAGAAAAATGCAGTGAAAGCTGCTTGAGCCACCAGCCAAATCAGCCTTGTTTTTCTTAAGACATTGCAACAAAGTTTTCTGAAATCTCAGCACAGTTCTGTTGTGCCTTCAGTTAAAAGCCTGAGTGAGCAAATTATTCAGGCTGTGACATGTAAACACTTCCAGGACATGAAATGCAAATGTTTGTTTGTCAAGAGGACCAACTGCTTCCTTTTATGCAGAAGCATGTTTGCTTTATTGAATTTTCATTGTTTTTATCCTTGTCCTCTGCAGCACAAATATTTGGTGTTTGACAGCAGGTTGGCAGTTTTGTGAATGCCTTTTGAGATGCCTTTGTACAGAAGAGAAAGATGTGATGTTACAGCCTTGCCAATAATAAATATGCTTATAATTCTGCATGGTTTGAAGCCCAGTGTGAATGAAATCTCTGAAAAGTGTGAAGACTTTCTGTATTTTCATTCTGGGAAAGAGCTGTAAAATATCTTGTAGTACAACTAAAGGCAGAAATGTTCCATCAGAGAAACCTTTCCTCCTTTTGTTGCTTTTAAAGAGAGCATGTTGCTTTCAGGCTTGTTTCAATACCAGAGAAGGGGGGAAAAAAGCTAAATTTGTGCATTTTTTACATTGTCCAGACAGCTTGGCATGGAAGCTCTTCTACATGGCTGGGTGTTTCTTTGTGGCAGCCCAGAATCTGGAGCAGTGGGAGGTAAGATGCTGAGCTCAGGAAATGAGGGGCTCTGAGTAGGAAGCAGTTGGCAGATGCTGATTCCAGCACTTGTTCAGTCCAAATAGACAAGTTATGCTTTTGGTTTTGAGGAAACTCTCTGGGTTGCTATGCTGGGAATAGAATTAGGGCAATAATTCTTTGATGATACAAGCATTAAAATGTGAAGCTGAACATATGGGTATTTTAAGGGGAGACTTGGCCTAAAATATTCTCTCTTATACAAAAGAGGGAGGATGACCAGGACATTCAGCTGCACAAATGATTTTGAGTTTAGCCTTCAAGTTAATGACAGAGAAACCACTAAATAAGGGAGCTCTGAGCTTCCAGGCTGCTCAGCCTTTTTCCTCTGCTTTAGAATTGTGTGGATGTTGATTTGAGAGCAATAAGCCACCTTGTCATCCTGCTGACCTGAGCTGTGTTAGGATGAGCAACTCACCTAAAGAGAGAGAGATCCTCTTTTCATTGATTAATATGACATTTTATTAATATCTCATATCATTGATATTCATTTTCATTGGGATATTTGGGGTCTGTGTAAGCCTGGCCCATGGAGCACAGCACTGGGATATCAAATTCACTAGAAGTGAAAATTATAGGAGTTACAAGTGAGTGTTCAAATTTAATTCTAGCTTTTATTACATGGGGAATGTGGCAAAAGGGACCATGAACCCATTTTAACTCCCTTCTAGGAGTCACACCAGAGATATGGTAAAGTTTCTGTTAAAACCAGGAGCAAGATTGTGATTTTCATGGTCTAGTAATAGAGGAATGCATCTCTGTCTCTCTCTGTGTATTTTTCTGTTACCAAGATTATTTTCCAATAGAACTATTTTTATTTTACTTTGAAGCATAGCCAGTGATGATGTTTTCAAGAAAATCTTAATTCTTATTTTTCAATTTTACAGGAAGCTGTATTTGATAAAAACAAGGGAACAATCTGCCTAAAAACATTCAACCTCTACAAAAAAATACTGACCTTGTCAAAAGGAGGCAATGAACAAGGTGAGAGAGCAGCATCTGTGGTAGGAAATGTGGTGAGCAGCAGAAGAGATGGATGTGTGCCCATGTAACAGCTTCTCTGGAGTTCTGTACTCAAATTAAGTCACATCTGCTTCCAGATCTGCTTTGTTCCCAAGCAGCAGATGTAACAATCTGCCTCTCTGGGCCCAAATGCTTTTTCTCTGTGTGTTGAATGCATCTTGTTAATTATTTTAATCCAACATAAGGAGGCCTACACATTGCTTTCCCTAATAACCTTAGCCATTCCTTTGGGATGTTAATATGTTTACCTTGCTCTTGGCTAGCCTGCTTGGCAGCTGGGACTGGTGGAAAAACTTCAATTTTGGATCCAGAAGTTGAGATTCCTGTAATCTCATCTGCTTTGGGGAGCAGGCAAAGGTTGGATAGCATATGCAAGCAGGCATGTTACATCCTGCAGTTACAGAATATGCATTTAAAGCAGCCTGTGCAGGATGCTCAGTTTAATGCAGGATCTGATGGTCTTGGGCTTCCTCTTGGACTAACAGAAGTTGCAGTTTGGTCTGTGAGTTGGTTGAGTCAGGTGGTGAGTTGGTAGCTCTGTTGCAAACTGGGATCTTTTATTCTGTTGCAAAAGTAGGATCTTCTTCCCTGGCAGAGTTTTTGTTCTACTTTCTGATGTAAATAGAACCAGCTCTCAATAAGCTCAGAAGAGTGGCCAAATTTGGGATGACCTTAAGCTGAGTTGGTTTTTAAAGAGTTCATTTTGGAGATGGAAGATAAAAGATGTGGAGAGAAGGATGTTTAATGTTTCTGAGGTTTCCTTTAGGATCCATGTTTACAATGGAGAGCTGAGGCTTATCCTTTATGACAATATCTGGTTTAGGGTGGGTTCATGTGAGGATACAGAGATCAGCAGGGGCTTTCAGCAGTTAAATATTTCAGTATTTCTTCAATCTCAGTAAACTGAACACCTGTTTGCCTACTCCATACAGAAGAATAGTTAAAACTGCCATTAAAGCAGGTGGGAAACATAAGTAGTACTGGGTTGCTCCCTGGTGCCTGGCTGGCTCTATCTTTATCCTTAGGGCCTGTCCCAACTCCAGTGTGCTGCACTCACACCCTGTGCATGTTTCTTTTGCCTGAGCAGCTCAGCAGCTCTTTTGATAGTTTTAGCTTTTATATTTTTCAGGTTCTGGGCTGCTTTAGTGTGTAATTCTGAGCTTCATATTAGGGGATGGTGAGCTCTGTGCAGAGAGTAGGGAGATACAGCCTTGCTGTGCTGCAAGGGCCCTGAGGAAGGAGGAATGATGAGGAAGACTCCATGGATATGAGAAGGCTAATTAATTATTTTATTATACTTTATTACTCTATACATCTAAAACTGAATCTGCCAAGCACTCAAATCTGCACACAACTGCACAGAATCTCGTGACTGTCACTCAGCAGTCCTGACACACACACACACAGGCTTGGCCAAGGAAACAAAACACCTTGGGTAAAACAAAAGCACTTTGGGTAAACAGTCTCCTTATTGCATTCTACTTTTGCACAAACACAGGCACAGCAAATGATAAGAATTGTTTTTCCTTCCTCTGAGGTTCAGAGAATGTGGAAATCCAGAAATGTTCTTGGGAAGAATTGTGCCTTGCTTTTCTCATTAAAGAGAAATGTGGCTACAGGGAGATAAAACAATTCCTTCTCTAGCTGGGGACCAAGGACAAATGATCCAAATCTCAGGCCCTAGAGCATAAAAAATGTGGACTGAAGAGAGAAAAACAAGAAGGATGGGACTGCCTGGGCCCCTCAGTGTCCTGTCCCAGCCCAGCCCAGCCCCTGCAGTGCCCAGAGCAGCTGGGCAGGAGCAGCCTGAGCACAGAGAGCCCCAGTGCTCCTGCTGTGGCAGGGGCTGGTGGCCAGCAGCAGGTGATGCCTCAGGGTTTGGCTTTTCTATTTTTCACATTCTGTGCTGCTTTAGTGTGTGGGTCTGAGCTTCACATCAGGGGATGGTGAGCTCTGTGCACAGAGCAGGGAGACAAAACAATTCCTGCTCCAGCTGGGGACCAAGGACAAATGATCCAAATCTCAGCCCAAGAGCACAAACACCGTGGGCCAAGGAGAGAAAAACAAGGATGGGACTGGATGGGCTAAAGCTGGAATGGGACAATGAACTGCAAGATGCAAATGGAGCAGAACTGATCCAAGGGAGAGACCCCGTGCCCGGCTGTGCATTTTGGGGCCATTTTGGTTCATCTTGGGTGCAGCCCTGGCTGGGCTCTTGTGCTGCCCAAGGTGGATCCATTGAGGAGATCCTTTTAATAAATCCCTGCTTTATTCTTTAGCTCTGCATAGTCTCTGCTCTAGCTCAGCCTGCACAAGGCACCATTTTGCTGCTGCAGGAGTGCCCTGGCTGTGAGGGATCACAGAGCAGGGTCCCTGTCACCCTGCCAGCAGTGCTGAGGCTGTGCAGCGCTGCTGAAGCTCCTGTTGTGCCCTCCCTGCAGTGGTGGCCGCGCTGAGCGAGATCCGGGATGTGAACGTGGAGGAGGAGGCCGTGCGCTATTTCGGGAAGGGGTACCTGGTGCTGCTGCGCTTCGTCACCGGCTTCTCACACCCGCTCACCCAGAGCGCCGTGCTGGGCTGCAGAAGGTGCAGGGGGGACTTGGGCAAATTGGAGTGTGGAAGGTGGGGAATGCCAATCAGGTGGGGCAGTAATTGCCAGCTGTTGTTGACGCCTCAAGTTTTAGTTTTTCTGTTTTCTCAGATTCTGTGCTGCGTTAGTGTGGGGGTCTGAGCTTCATATTAGTGGGTGGTGAGCTCTGTGCACAGAGTAGGGAGACAAAACAATTCCTTCTCTAGCTGGGGACCAAGGATAACCAGCCCCAATTTCAGGCCCAACAGCATAAACAACAGTGCACTGAAGGGAAAAAAAAACCAAGAAGGATGGGACTGGATGGGCTAAAACTGGAATTGGACAATGAACTCCAATATGCAAATAGAGCAGAACTGGTCAAAGTGAGAGACCCCATGACTGGCCATCCATTTTGTGACCATTTTGGGTTTATCTTGGATGTAGCCCTGTCTGGGCTCTTGTGCTGCCCAAGGTGCATCCATTGAGGACCTTTAATAAATCCCTGCTTTATTCTTTAACTCTGTCCAGCCTCTGTTCTAGGTCAGCCTTCACAAGGCACCATTATAACTAAGCTCAGTTTTTAGACTTCTTGTGTTACTCAGTTTAACCTTTTAAACCCCATTCATTTGCAGACATTTTGCTAACACCATCTGTCAGGATCATGTTTAAAAATCTCAGATCCCTTTAGTGCTGCATGTCTGCTGGAGTTACCTTCCTGAGCTATATAGTGGCAGAGGGGACTAATTCTACTTTGCAAACATTTTGGTGTATTAGTTAGCAGAAAAATTATCTTAAGTATTGATAATAAGGAACCTTGCAGCATTGATAATAAGGAACCTTGCAGGAGTGGGAAAGGACTGATGTGTTCTGATGTGGAGGGGATTGGTGTGGCATGCTGTCAGCCATACCTTCCATGCCCATATGACTTTCCCTCAAGGCAGTTTTCTCAGGAATTAGCATGCCTGCTCTTGTCTTGTCAGCACTACAGTTCCACTGACTCTTCCATTGTTTTTTATTTTCCACAGTGATGTGGAAGCAGTTGCCAAACTCATCACGAGTTTCCTGGAACTGGACAGAGTAGAGACCCCACAGGATTTCTCCCAGAGCAGTGAAACAGAGGCAAGTGATGCAGATGAACCACAGGTTAAATACTGATGGTCATTGTGAACTGAAGCAAGCAGAGGCATTCACACATCTGGAAAATATTCTGGTTGTTCTTCAGAACAAGAAACCCCTCACAGCCTTGACCTGGGCATTTCTCAACGTGTGCATTTACAATGGGTGCAATCTCTCTTAGGGCCCATTGCTTCAAGACCCTGCATGTGGACACTGCTGGCTTTTGAACTTCTGTCACCTCATCAAACTTGTCTAGGAATAGTTATTTATTAATGAATTGGTTTGAAATAATTGCTTTTCCATTAATGAGGATACAGATGTGAACTTCTGCTTACTGCAAACATTTGCTGCAGGTACAGTATATGCAATGTAGAAGAGTTGAATTTGTAACTCATAACACAATGCTTTGAGGTTTCCCCTTTAATATATGCAATTAGGAGATGCAGAGTAGTGGCACTTTTATGTTCTCTACTACTGACTTGCCACTGGATATCTGTGGAAATTGAAGTCTGAGTGCCTCTCTTGGAATTTTAAACATCAGGTTGATCAACTTGTAAAGGTGTCTTAACTTATCTCAGACCCACCAAGGAGCCATAAATAGCAAAGGAAAAAGGATCATGATGAAACTTCTTTGGGATGCTCTACCTTAATGCTGTTCTGCTTAACTTCTGGGCAGGACAGAGCAATCTTTTTCTAGACCTCAATGTTTACTATTTAAACTGTGTTTAAAAAAGGAAAGGAAGCAGGGACATGTGTAACTTTGATGTCAAACAAGGTGGTAGCTTAGAGTTGTTGAGTATTTCCTCACTTGAAATGATACCCAAGTGCTAAATAATAACTTTTTTTAAGGTAGGTAGCATAGACCAAATGTCTGACTTGTACTTGTGTATTACTCCAGGTGTGTGGTGTCCTCTGTTCTGATCAATGGTTTCACAAATAGTTAAAATATACATTTTTTTCAAGGTATTTCTGAAGTAAAAGCTACCTCTGTTAGTCAACATATTCTGTCTAGAGCTAGAACTCCATCATGCTTACATTAACATGTCAGTACAAGAAAAAACTGTAAAAAGCTGCAAGTTCCTTCAGCATACTACAGCTGCTTGTACTGAACTTCACTAGGTTTTCTTAGGAATCTTATGGCCTTTAGACCTGGTTTAGAAAATATGTACACAGTTACACCTAGGAGATGTGAACAGGTACGAGGTAACCGTGTTCTCTGCTCTAACAGTTGGCCAGCAGCAAATGTCTCCTGGCAGCAGTTCCTTCAGAACTTTTAAAAGAGCCTGTGTTCTTGTTCCCAGTCACTCTACCTCTACAGAGAGAAGGCTGTGAAAGGTTTTGGTGGAAGGCACATCCTGTTGTGTGTTCAGTTTGGTGTGATGCTGAGCACCTGCTCATCCAAGATTTCCCTTCCAGCTGTTCAGAGGCAGGCTGTGAGCAGGGGCTGGGGCTGTCAGGGGAAGGTGCTCACACTGCAGCAGGGCTGATGGCTGTTGGTGTAGCTGCCTGCAGCACAGAGCTGGGTCTGGTTCCTTTAAATAAGATAAAAAACTTGTAATCATGTCAGGTGTCAGTACAGAGCTCTGCCAGTACATGTTCCTGAAAGTCCCCTGAATTGTTGGGGTAATCATGGGGCTTTTGGTGCCTACCCCACACCACTGGAACTGGGAAGCTGCTGGATATGAACGTGGGAAAATCAGGTTGCAATTAGCTAAATTTGCCTTTATTCTCCAGCACAGCTGTAGGCTAAGCATAATCACCAAACCTGTTTAAAAAATATTGCAGGGTGTAACACTTAATGAAGAGTTCCTCATTTAAATCCACTGTAGTGTATACCCCAGGTGATGTTCATTTCAGAGAGAGGAGAATGACACTGGGGATTTGGAGAACTCTTCCCCCAGTGTAAAATGAGAATGGTGAATGCTCTAAGGACTTGCAGTAAGCAGTGCTGGCCTGGAGTGTGTCATGGTGCAGTGTAAGCACAGGGGCTCAGCCTGTGCCAGCTGCTGCTTTGTATCAAGGATATTCAGAGGGCATTGTGCTGTGCACTGCACTTCCTCTGGGCCCGTGGAGTGGACCATGGATAACCCAGACAAAACTGCTGCCTTTCATTTGTATTCCCATGAGGGCTGACATTCCATGGAAGATGTAAAGCACACTGTAGATCTCCAGTTAAAAATCAGCTTTTGAGAGGTAAATCTGTTGGTCTGACCCTGCACTGCATCCTGTGTCCTGCTTCTGCTGAGCTGCAGTGCATCCAGCTTGCTGTGCATTCATAGTGTTAGTCAAGTCTACACTTACAGACTATGCAATATCTTAGACAAAGACTAAAACATGTAAGGAAATTGAGAATATAGGAAGGGGAATGACCTATAGTAAAGTACAATGGGACTTGAAATAGATCCTGTGGAGTAAGTTGTATGTTGGGTTGATGTCAGTGATCACCTCTTCAGAGGTGTTTTGCAGTCTCCTCCTCACTCCTCATTATCTGCTGTGTCAGGCAGGACAGGCTTGGCTGCTGCCATGCACTGTGTTTAGGAGGAATTTTGACTCCTCAGCCTTTCCCTTGGAGCAGCTGGTGCCATCCTCTCGTGCCATTTCCATTTTGCATTTGGCAGCTGTCACCGTACCAACAAGTCCAGTTCAGTGGGGATCTGGGTTCTGCAGCCTGAGCTATGAGCATGGGCCCTGGGGATGTTCTCAGACCTGTGTTCTGCAGCCTGAGCTGGCAGGATGAGCCCTGATCTGGGTTCTGCAGCCTGAGCTGGCAGGATGGGCCCTGATCTGTGTTCTGCAGCCTGAGCTGGCAGGATGGGCCCTGGTCTGTGTTCTGCAGCCTGAGCTGGCAGGATGGGCCCTGGGGATGCTCTGGCAGGCTGGGGGTGCTCCTGTGGGGACCTGTCAGGCACTGCTGGCAGATCCACCCAGGAGCTTCTGTGGCACTGATCCATCTGAGCCTGGCAGTGGGACACTGCACCCGTGGTAGCACAGGCTGATGGGGTTTTCTCTTGTGTTTCTCTTGATCCACATGTGGAGCTTCTTGCCCTCTAGACCTGTAATTTTCAGCTGGAAGACACGGCCAGGTGAATGCAGTAACTGTGCACGTCCAGTTCCCCTGTGATTGCTGTTGCCATGGTTGGGCTGTGGCAGTGTCTGTGCCCTCCTCAGCCATGGGATCACCTCGAGGAGCTGAGGAAGGCAGGTGCAGCTCAGGGCAGGGTCCAGGTCCCTCTTGGACAAGTCCTCTGTCATCCTCCCTTTGTGCCACTTCCCACCATTCTGCTGAAGCCTTTCCTGGTTCTCCTCACTCCTCTTGGGCCAGCAAAGTCAAAGGCCCAGTAAACAGAACCTTACATGTGCCTGCTGTGAAGTGACTGGGACCCAAAGGAATGACCTGAAAGGCTCATTTTGGGTAGGAAATTCAGGACTCCTACAGATGTACTCATTAACTTCTGCATCTCAGGCTATCCTAGAGACTTGTGCCTGGACAGCTGCAGTTTGCAGGACTTACCCATGATTTAAAAAGCTGCACAGCAGAGCTTAGATCAGCTCCAACACCTAAACCAAACCCATTTGTCACATCCTTCACTGTAAGTGGCACTTGGCAGGTGCTCCAGGGCAGCACAGGGCAGCTCCTTGCATGGCTGGGCTGGGATGGGATTGGGGCTGTGGCTGCTGCACTGCTTTGTGTAACCTTGGTGTGACCCCATATTCCAAATACTTCACACTGAAATATTCCATACCTGGCATCAATTGTGCAAGTCTGAAAGAAAATCCAAATATTTATAGTTGAGATCTGATTTTTGAGCTGTATTTATGAAGTTACACAGATACCAAAACCTCAGCTGGCTCACATCATAAATAAAGAGTGCTAGTTCTGACAATGTCATAGATGGCTGGGAGGCAAAAATACTTCTGGAAAATGTTTAGAAATTGCCTTATTTTTACTTTCAAATTGCAAGTAGAATTTCAGCAAGGCCTTGTTGTGTTGTCTTTTTTTAAAAAAATGTTCATTGATAAAATCAACTTTGATAACTTGTTTTGCATCGCTGTAGTATTTTGTATATTGTTTTTAATTAAAATTATTAAAATATTAATGGCTGGCTAAATTCTTATTGGGAACAGATCTACTGAAGGAGTTCATGAGGGGGAGGACAGAATAGAAGAAGCTGCTTAGAAGTGACCCTGCTTTTAATTCCATTTTCTATTATTCCATATAATAGAGAGCTGATAGAGCCAACTCTGTATTGGTGAATATTTCCATTTTCTCTCCTTTAAACCAAACCAACGTGCTACACACACAAAAAGCAACACCCTTCTACAAACATTGGAGTATCAAAGGTTTTATTCAAGTAAAATAAATTAAGATCTTGTTTAGTTCAAGCTATGTGACAGGTATACACAGCAATTGGTTCTTTTTAGATCAAGATCTGCATGTGGGCCTGGTTCCTAAGGCTCTCATTGAGTCACCTGAACCTTGTCTTATGCTGTAGTTTTACTTTTTGTATGTTAAAATTTGCTCCAAGAAAATTTCAATGCCAGTGCTCCCCAAAAATACTTAAAGAAAGGCATAAAATGAAGCACAGGAATAATTGTTTTGAATATTCATGGTGAAGTAACATACTTAACAAGAGAGAATTGGGATAATCACCAAAAGTCCCCAAAATATATTTCTACGTGTTATGACAAGTTTGACATTAAAGCAGAATAAACCAGCATTTTTTTCCTTATATTTATATTTAGTAGCTTTAGTCATGGCTCAAATTGGGACCCAGCTGTAAGTGCAGGTTGCAGTTGGGGTTTGACACAGCCAAAGATGCTTTTCTGTGGGGATGGGGCTGAGCTTTGCTGCTGCTCTGGCAGAAATGAAGCAGCCCCATGTGTGTGAAGGCATTGTCCCTCCAAGCCCAGCTGTCCCTGCCTCAGGAGCTCCCTCCTGCTCCTGATTCCTCTGCTGGAGTGAATGGTAGGACACGAGGCAGAGCACAGCTGGCATGGGAAGGAGTTTTGGTACAGAACAAAATGACCCAAACTTTTTTAAAGCATCCTAAATATCAGGGTAGAAGCTCCCCAGGTCATTGCTATGTAAGAGTGTTGCTACAAATGCTGAATTTGGGAGGAGCTGGGTTTTTCTCCTGCCTGGCAGGAGAGTGAGCTGTGACTCAGTGCTGCTGTTATGCAAGGGCAGCAAACCTCCCTGACAGGCAGGTGAATTAAGGCTCAGCACGTGTTAAGACAGGAAAATTGGGTTGAAGTGTTTTATGCTAATAAATTCCTTCGTGCCTTCAGGTCACTTTTGTTTAACCACACTCTTGAAGATGACAAACTCCAGCTCAAGGCTACTTGCTGATTTTCCCTAGCCATGTTTTCCCAGGGAATGAGTCAGACTAACTGAAATGTCCCTAATTTTGTGCTCTTATTGCTTCATCTAAATCATCCACCACTTCCTGCAGCTTCTGTAGGTGGGGGTGGACATTTTCCTCCATCCACTCCTCTATAGCACACCTGTGGAAAACTTGCTCCATGGCTGCTTGCAGGTCTTGCACCACAGCATTCCACTTGGAGAAGAGCCTGAGCAGGAGTGAAAATAGGAACCAATGACATCTGCAGGTGAGCTCTGCCTCAGGGGAGGGTTGGCTTGCTGGCCTTTGGAAGGGAGTACTGTCCTTAGAACCTCTCTACAGGAAAAGAAGCTTCTATTACAAGAGCCCAAAGGACTTGGTTTGGTTCAGATGGCAAAAGCCTGATGCTGCTTC